AGCATACGAACTGCATGCAAATACTGTAAGAGATTCTTCTAAACTCTTATTTTACTACTTCAGTAAATTTTCAGTGTTTCGTGAATCTAAAAATATCTAATTACCATTTTATTAGTTTCTAAAGAGCAATTTGTTTGCATTAGGGAATATATGTTGAAAACTTGTGGTTGTGCTCTTTGAATTTTGTTGCATGTCTTTACTTGTCAAAAAAGTACATAATGCTAGCTTCACTCCATCACCCCTTCTCCCAATATATTGAGGTTGTACTTCATATCTCTAGCTACTGTAAGCAATTCTCTGAGGATGAAGACAGAAAATGTACATACACATAGGAATTTCTTTTCCAGAGCTAAAATTGACATTTTATAAATAATTTTCATGTTGCAAACTTGAGACTATGAAATCACAGCAATTCAGTGATATGCATTTGGCATGAGTCAGTTTTAGTTCTTAGTGGTTTTCATTGGAAATGGCCAAAAAAGTAAGTTATCTCTGAATTTTTTATGCTGTGGGCTTATAAGAAACATAAAATGTTTTTCTCTCATAGTTGTATGGCAGCACATGGCAGCAGAAGTAACGAAATGGTCACAAACCCCAGCAGTACTTCCCAGGTCACATGCGCTCTTAATTTTTAAAGAATCTCAAAACAACTTAAGCAGTTGATAACAAGACATTTCTAGGTGATACAAAGGGTATTTGATATGGGATGTTGCTTTTCTTTCCACAACTCATTTTTACAGTGGTTTAAACTGAAATTTATTTTATATACTTGTAAGTTTATACATTTTTAAATATTTAACTTAACTGATAGTTGAAAATTTTTACTTTTTGAAGTGTTTTCAGAGTGGTTTTTGAGGTCTTAAATTTTTTTCTTTCAAACTTTTTTTCTTGAGACGTGTGTGTGTGTGTGTGTGTGTGTGTAATGGGCTGACTTAAAAAGCTATGGAAGATTCAAATTGTTTGGGGTTTTTTAAGCTCAAAAAAGTATATATTATAAATTCTTAAAACATTGGTCCTTTTTCTCTTTAACATTCCCCACAGTCATTGACTTCATATAAGTGCAGTTGGATGCTCCTAGGAAAGACAGAGAGGAATTATAATAACCATTTTTAGAAGTGTTTATGCATTTGTCATTAAAACCCTTTTTTTGTTTAAACTCATTTGAGGAACATTGCTTTAAAAATGTCTTCCTTTGAATGCAAGCATTGGGAAGTATAGGTTGGCGCTTTTCAAAATTTAGTCTAGACTTCCAATGACCTAGTAGTTGATAGGAAAACATAAATTTAAAAATAAATAGCATATTGGATGAACTGTACCATACTCATGAAAGAAGCCAGGAAATTATGGATTAAACTGAATTTGAAGGTAGAGTTTTAAGTCCTAAATCAGATTCCTCATTTAAATGAAATAGTAGGTCCTTGACCCTTGGGCATGCTTCAAATAAACATAGAATTCAGTATTGTTTTTAAAATTGTTTTGCTTTTATAAGCTAAGACAGATGTACAAAATAGATGCAGTTTTTATTTTGTATTGGCAGCTTCCAAATATTTAGTATCTATTTCCAAGAGTTGCAATTAGTAAAGCAGCCATGGTACTGAAATCTGCACATCCCACAAGCTAATTATATTTGCAAGGTCAGAGTGAATACATATTTTCAGAAAAATAAAGGGTTATATAAATATGTGTCTTCTACTTGGCTGTTATATCACAGTTTGTTGATCTGGAGTATAATGTGTACAATTCACAAATTTGTCTGATAACAGAAAGTGGTGTGTGATTGTGTTTATTTTACTAACCAGTATATTCACAGCAATCACTTCCAAATATCTCTCCAGTAAAGATGTGTTAATTACAAAACAGACAAGGTCTTCTATTATATTAAAGCTACTAACAAGAAGACAGCAGGAATCACACATGTAAATAGCATCATCAACCCCTATTTTAGTCCTCTGTTTTGATCTGTGAGTTGCGCATAGACCAAAGGTGCTATTAAAGACTGAGTGTATGAAATAGGCAGCATTATATGAACAAAATTTATTCAACAAGAAAACAGACCTTTAACATGAATTTAACAAGCCTGAGAAATTATAAACTATCATATGCTGCAGATTCATGCAGTGATAATAAACAAAAAAGGAAAGTAAGAGGTTTCCCTAAGCTAGCCAAACTGCTAATGGTTTTGTTATAAGCTGTCTACTGTTGCATTGACCTCTGAAAAGTCTCAAGGCACTTGTACCAGAAAAAATTAAATGGTCAGGCTGGTGAATAGAGATTTAGTGTGGTGTGCAGGACTTCAGCAGGGAAAGGAATTTGAGGAGTATGGCATCACTTTCCAGAAATTAATTTTTATACTTTGGCTTAGAGGTTTTACTGTTATCCTGTAAGGAAACAAGCTTTGTGTGATTTTTCTTTTGTGACTGGGGTGGGGGCATGTTCACTTACTACAAACCAAACTGGTTTAATGTATATGCACTTCAAAAACTACTTAGTGAACTATTTAGAAAATACAGAAAGCTCCAAAAAATGTGTTACTCCTCTTGGTCCCCCCATCCTGTAATTAATTCTTAGGAGTTCCTTGCTTAGTATAATGCATCTAACATTTCTGTTCTGAACCACAGAGTGACCACTTTGCCGTCATTCTGTTGCATCATGCTGTAAATATTACAAACATGGAGAAACGCCCTCAGCTTACACAAACCTCCAAGTGCTCACTCAGGCTTTTTTTTTAAAACTTACTGTGGCATAATTAACACCTTCTTCACCCATTGCTCATTAGTACACTGGACATTAATGAGTCTATTTTCTCTAAAGGAGAAACCTACTTATTCTCACAGCAGAAAAAGCAATTATAAAATTGTACAAAAATTAAAATGTAGACTATATTGTCATATTTATATTTTTATTGCATGCTAAATCTAATTTTGTCCGTAGGTTGCTGAACATGTTAGTTTGCTTAAGACAGTTGCTATAGCAATGGCAGCAAATTCCTTTAATCTTAGTGTAATCATTTATATTGGCTATCATATCCTTACTTGGGAATTATCAATCTAAACATGTCATTTCACAGGCTCTCATTTAATAACAATATATTAAATCCTTAAATTTTTCTATTAAATTTTAACAGAATTAATTTAAAAATTTTTAAGAGCACAATAATCTGCTTAACTGATGTTTTCATTTCCTTTTTGAAGTTTCACACTTGCTTATAATATTCCAGAGAGATAGGGCAGAGACTTTTCACTTAAATAACTATCTGCTGTTTTAGTTGGAAAGCATTCAGTATAAGAAAGGAAATATAAGCAGATATGTACTTTCATTGTTATATGTAATGAAATTTCTATAGTTTTGTGGATTTTCTACATGTGATTTTATTGAAATATTAAATTGGAATAAAAAATTGATTCAGATGATACTTTGCTCTAAGTTGTCTGTCTTTCAAAATGGTTGCTTTCCCCTCCTTTATTTACATTTTTAATTTGGTATTATTTTATATGCTTTTTAGTACTACTGTAGGCTGTTTTAAACTATCTGACTAAATATGTCAGATTAGTGTGTTACTATTGATCTATGAAGAAAAATATGCTAGTTGAATGTAATTATAAAAATAGTAGGCTATTTTCACTATTTTTAAATGTGCAAATTAAGTTTGTATTAAAATTATTATATAATAAGAGAATTTGTAGAAACTGTTCATATTCCGAATCTTTATTTTTAAGGAAGATGAATCTTTGGGAAATTCTGAACTGTTGGAAATAAAAGCAAAATTCAGAGTTGCCTTTTTAGGCCAAGTGGAATGAACAGAAACTTTGATTTGCTTGTCATAGTATTTTCTTATAAGTTTATATTTCTGTGGATGTAATCTTTGAGCTACTTAGCAGCCTTGTTTTATTTTTAAAGTCTCATTCTTAGAACAGAGCATGTAGAAATACTTACTTAAGCTGAAAGTAAATATTTTTACTCAAACAATAATGGTAAAAATGAGAATAAATCTAGCTGACAGCTTTTTAAAAACATTGACAAATCTTAGTTCGATTTTAAATGTGAATCTGAAAATACTGTATTATCTTGCTTTAAGATTGTTTTATTTGACACATGTATTGAGTTAAATTCCCTTAAAGAGTCAATCTGTCTAAACTTCACATTTTTACCTAAAATTTTATGTTGTTTAAAAATGTTTACAAAAATCCCTTAAATCCATAGTAATGAATGCAAACGTGACAACAATAAGATAGTATGAGATTCTTGTTAATCCTTAGTTATGTGAGAGCTAGCAGATGATAATTGTATTGTGTAAGAATTCTAAGACTTTCCATCCAATGAAAATATCTATTATATTTATTTACTGTGAAATTAAAGGGCCATATCATTGTATACCATATTTCCCAGTTTAAAGCGTGGATGACCTTCGTTTTTTTATCTGGTGCCTTTTACACGTGACAGTGGCTTGGATTTAACCATCAGACAAGATATAAAGTCTTTCATAGTCGCAAGAAGTAAAAGGTATCTGACTAGAAGAGAATCCACGGGCAAGTGACTTGTTGGCTGTAATTTTGTTGTCATTTCAGGTACTGTGGTGGTATAATTGATGTGACAGGGCTGAGCTTTAAATGTAGTCCCTTAGCTTGTGCTCACTTTCAGTTTTACTTTTCTGTCATTCATTTTGAGTAGGTAAAATTTAGGTTACAAACATATGCACACCAAAAGGGCTGTTGGAGTAAGTTTAGTAGTGATGTATTTTAATAATAAAGATGCAAAGTTAACATTTTCCTTTACTGGCTTCACGAAAATTGCAGTAATTGCTGTCACCTTACATTACAAGATAGAGGGTGGTGTGCTGATGGCACAATCAGCAGGAGGTTCTTTTTTTATTAATATTATAATTAAATGATTTTCTGGAAATAGGCCAGAAACAGATGCAAGTTGATCATGCCTTGTCCACTGTTGCCTGGCATTATCACTTTCTTTTAAAGAAGAATTGAGTTGACACTTTGTTTTTACAGGTTGTTATTGATGCCTTCAGATTGATCAATGCTAATATGATGGTCTTAGGACATGAACCAAGACAAACAACTTCAAATCTGGGTCACTTAAATAAGCCATCTATCCAGGTAATATCCATGTGTTAAAACTCTTTTGCATTTTAAAAACTTTCTATAAATAGTCATCTTAAAATCTAATTCTTAGCATTTTAATTGCTTACAGTTAATTTTTGTGTTTTAAAAGAATTTTGGAATTATTGTAAAAGATATGTTCATGTATGAGTAGTTACAGTAGTCTTTACAGTTTCCCACCATATTTTGAGAGTACCCTGTTTGGGAATATAGTAGAGCCTTTATATTTAGATCATCTTCTATATGGTTAACATAGAAAAGGACTGATAGGCATTTCAGCTGAAGAAGATTGGCTATCATCATTGATTAATTAGTTCATAGACATTTTTCATAACAATAATGGGAAAGCTAGTATATTTTTAAACCCCTATATATTTCTTAAATATTAATTAAAGCTTTCTACCTTTATATTTCATCTTTACCTTTAAAGTAAATTATATAAAACACACCCATACATTACTTTTGACAAGAATTTATACCTTGTTTTATCTAGAGATATCAGTTGATGTTATTGGTATTCAGACACTTAATATCCTCTCGAGTGATGAATGTTTTCTTTGTATCATTCGCATGCCTCATTGTTTAAATACACATTTATACTGTCTGCAAAAATTATTTCAAATGTGTTTTTAAATGTACCACAGCCTCTGTCTGTGTGTTTAATTACTTCTCTACAGATTAATTAAAAGGACAAAAATAACATGTTTGGTTAAATAGGACATGTAACACAAGGACATTATCGTAGCTATTGTTGTTCCCTTCTGAAACCTTGTTCTGCCATGAAGTTGTCTTTGGGGAATTGTGGCTTTGACAGTTAACTATGGTTAAGCTCTGGTTACACTTTGATAACTTTGTACTTCGAAATGCTTTATTTTGTAGCAATCACTCATGTGAAATCTTCATCAAAGGAAAACGTTTTGTTTCAAAGAATTGAGGTGTGTTGCTTTTGAAAAAAAATGTGCAAGTCAGGGAAAACTGCAAACTGTAATGAGTATGAAATACGCCACCAGTGATTTTGATTGGGCATAGACAAGCCCGTACTTGCATGTTTCAAGAGAATACATTATTGGACCTGTTTAGCCTGTGATAATGACCTTCCTTATAAACCCCAATAGCATCATACTACTTCATTATATTTTGCAAAAGGCTAAGTAGCACCTCACAATCCAAAATGATTATGATCACTACATGGTATATTTCTGCCAGAAGTTTTTACTAATTGCAAGACAGCAGCCACCTGTTGCTGATTTCATTTTTAAATTAAGACATTGCTTTTTAACCTTAAAAATTGAGTGTAATGATATTAAAATTATTTCTTTCTATACCAGGCTACAGTGTAGTTTTAATTTCTACCTTGTAGTCTATATTTTAAGGTACACTTAATGAAACAGATTCCAAACTTAAGCAACCTATGTGTATAACAGCTACAGCATCATTATTTTTCCTTTCATTTTTAGTTTGTTTTGCCTTCTAATTAAAATCTGTAAATATATTTATTTCACAGTTTATATAGCGCCCATCAGAATGACATCTATCTGGGTGCTTTACAGTTTTAAGACAATCTTAATACTAAAACATACAAATGAGATTAAGCCAAAAAGTGATGGAACAAAGCCACACCTTAAAACATTTTCTTATTTTTATAAGACAAGCTAGAAGGAAAGCAACCCAAAAGGGCCTAAAGTTGGTAATATCCATAATAGAATTGTAATACCTGGTAACCAAATCGTTAACTTATGAATTAGAAGTCTTTCAAAAAAAACATGTCTTTTATTGTGAAAGGAAAGTTAGCTGATGTTAAAAGAGGGAACCTGCTTCTAGCCTAACTTTTAAGCACTAGAGATAGAAGTCTGATAGCAGCCATTAGTACATATGCTAGTGGTCACTAATGGTTTTCTAACATCTAATTCTTAAAGAAGTAGGGAAATATTTTGATTACCTTGAGGACTAGTAATTTGAGAAAATTTCAAAATTATTAATTACAAAAGATTATAAAATTGGTGTACAAGTTCTTTACTTTGTAAGTATATATTTTGTAAATTGTGCCTATATATTGACACCACATTGTAATTACCTTTGATTGGTAGAATTTTAGAATTGTTTTTCTTGTTTTTTCCTTGTGTATATTTCTAGTGAAACATAGGGCTTTTAGAAGGTGTTACTTTTGCAGGTCGTGGTAGTGAATGTGTATAATCCCAGCATTTAGGAGTTTGAGGCAACAAGATTGCAGTTCAGAGCCAGCCTGGGGCGCATAATGACTTTAGTGTCATTAGGGCTACATAGCAAGTTCAAGGTTGACCTGGACTACACAGCAAGCCCTTGCATTACCTATCCAAAAGTTACTTTTAAAACACTAATGGCAAGGCCGGGGATTTAGCTCAGTGGTTCCATCGCCTGCCTTGTAAGCACAAGGTCCTGAGTTCAGTTCCCGGTACCTAAAAAAAAAAAACAATAAACAAATTTTGTTTGCATGTTTTCTTTAAGCGAAGCAATAATTTCTGGTAGATAAGTATAATGACTACCACTATAGGTTCTATATATTAATAGAACCTAAATAGTACTAATAGTTCTATATTAATATTTGAAACTTACATTATTTTGTACTTGGATCAGTTGAGTGTTATTATTATAAATATTTAGAATTGCAAAAAGCTGGGCGTGGTGGTGCACACCTGTAATCCCAGCACTCAGGAGGCTGAGGCAGGAGGATCACTGTGAGTTCGAGACCAGCCTAGGCTACATAGTGAGTTCCAGGTCAGTCTCAACTATATAGTGAGACCCTGTCTCAAAAAAACAAAACAAAACAAAAAAAAATTGCAAAGTTAATCAGCATTTATTTTGCTAAGTTTACAAAACTGTTTCATTAAAAACTGCTCACTGACATTTCAGATCCTTAAGGATCACAGTAAATTTGAAGATTGTCAGCCTCATGAAATTTTGGTAAAGATTGATGCATCAGTCCTGGTACGAGGCTCCCTGTGGAGCCTCTAAGTATAGTGGTTGGTGCCATTGCACTTTGTAGTAGAACTTAAGCTGTTAACTTAATATTAGTAATTAGAGTAGTAGAGTTAAGCTATTAACAAGTAGTAGTAAATATATTAACTCTAATATCTACATATCTAATATCTCTTAATTCTTGGTGAAGTAATTTTGCTGGCAAAGCCTAAAAATAAGATTATGGTTTTTTTTTAATGCAGACCCATAAAATATATAGACTTAATTAAGAATTTCCTGACTTGTATTATAGCATCATATGTTAGAAAGAATGTGGGATATAGAATGAGAATGACTGGGATTCACATGCCAAAGCCAGCCTTTTTTATTTTCCTTGTCTGTAAATACTCACATGGAATTAGCCTGCTTTACTGAACATTGTGGGAATTAGATGTGATGTGTAAAGCAGATGCTAGGTGCTCTTTAAATATTTACCTCCCTACTATTTTATCTGAGCACCTACACTCTAAAAATCCATTTAGAGAGGGGAGGTTATTGTGGTTAGCATTTTCTTCAGATTCCTGACAGTTAACCCCAAAACCATTTTTGTTTTTTGTACTTACTAAAAATATTCATAAGTTGAATATCTGTATTTGAATGTCTTCCTAGGCCAATAGAAAAAATTTTAGGTCCCTCAGGATACTGTTTTTAGCCACCTTTGAACCTGAGTTACATGAATGGACAGTGAATGAATATAGCAGATCCAGGGTTGTTGTTTAATAAAGCCATGCCATTAGCTTAGCTTTTTTTTTTTTTTTTTCCAATGACTGCCCTGAGTCTTGGTGATTGAGTATGGTGAAAAAAATTCCTAGATAGTATAGATTGCACACCGCTGGATAAAAAGCCTAAGCAAGACAGACACAGTAAAGAATAGACTGTATTGTTAATTTGGAGGTATGCATGGACATCATTATTTGAATTGCTTAGAACTAAATTAAGGAAAAGGGAAACCCCAGGTTAACACATTCTGGTCAGCTTAAACCACTGGTGGCGCATGCATGATTGTCCCATCTGGTGGCTATACCACTGGTGGTACAAATGGATCTAATCACTTTTATTGGTCTTTCTACTAATAAAATTAATAGTAAGCCACTCAGCAATGGGATATATGGATTACAGCACTGTCGTGAATATGTTAATGTGAATGAAGAAATGAGAGCATTACAACTTTTTAGACTTTTCTTTTGAAATACCAGAGTCCCACACATATCATAGAATTACATTTAATAGTAAGTAATTTATAATTTAAATCATGATGTGATCAAACCTTATCTCTGACTTTAAACAAGGCTATTGCCACTTGAATTTGTGAGTCTCTGTATCATACTTTGAACAATGTGTCATTCATTCCTTTAAACTTCACATGTAAACTTGTAACTGAGAAAAATGTTTTAATTTAATGCTAGCTTAGGGTAAAATGCTCATTTTAGAAGATGGTAAAAGGATTGTGTGCAGAATATGTTAACAGTTTCAAACATTTCTGTTTTATTTGGTGAGACGTATTTTATCTCTTTTAAATCATTTTATCTATGTAGGCATTAATTCATGGACTAAACAGACATTATTACTCCATCACCATTAATTATCGGAAAAATGAACTGGAACAGAAGGTAAGATTAAATTTTTCAAACCATTTAAACTATTATCTGCTATATGATTTAAATTTGAATTTTTTGACCTCTTTTGCTGTTTTCCAATAATTTTACACTCTTAATGAATTGTAGCATAAAAGTAAATATTTTATTGAAAGACAGTTTTTTTGGGGCCGGGGATTTAGCTCAGCGTTTCGGTGGCCTGCCTTGCAAGCGCAAGGAACCAAGTTCGATCCCCAGTACCAAAAAAAAAAAAGAAGAAAGAAAGTTTTTTTTCTTTATTTATAGATACTAAATTGGGAGAGGAAGTAGAAAATGAAGCAAGCATTGAATTTTTTATTTCCCTAGTTCTGTGGTTTTTCTGATTATTTCCATTAAAATAACCTTTTGTAATTCAGGTATTAAATACATAGCTTTTCAAGTATGATAATAAGTTGTGATTATGTAGTACTTATTAAAATATGCCATATTTACAGTAAATTAAGGACAATTAAAGGTAAAAAACAAGACTTTCAAGTATTTTAGGCTTGATTTTTACTTATTTTCTTATTTTTATACTGGACTATTTTCAGATTTAATTACTCTTTACCAATACCTAGCATTTGATGGGTTTTACATTCTTTGTTTATTTCTAGAATGATTTCTAGTATTGCTTTTTCTCAACTATTACTCTGCCTATTACTTTTTTTTTTTTTTTTTTTTTTTTTTTTTTTTGGACTGAGGCTCAAACTAATGATCTTGTAGTTGCAAGGCAGTTACAGTGCCACTGAGCTAAATCCCCAGCCCTTCTCTGCCTATTACTTTTTAAAATTATAATCTGAGCCACTTTTCCACCTTTATTATTATAATTAGTCATTCACTAAATTACCTTTATAGTTTTTTTCTGGGAAAAACTTTAAAAGTTTCTTAAGGACATTGAATTTACTATTGATAACCAGTAAGTTTTGGTTGTTATATACAGACAAGCTCACTGGTAAGTATTCAGTAGCAAACAAGATCATTCATACTAGTTGAAGTTGTTTTTCGTAAAGATGCCTCCAAGGTGCTTCTGGTTTATATGGTCAGTGAAAGGTTGGTTAATTCAGGCTCTCCATATCTACCTTATTTTCTGATAAATAATCTTCATCTTTAATTTTATTTTTATATCACAGGGGAGAATCTATATTAGATTTTCTTTGAAAGAAAAATCCTTTTTTAAAAATGGGCATTTATTTATTTATTTATTTATTGGTACCTAGGATTGAACTCGGGACCCTTGCACTTGCAAGGCAGGTGGCAGAGCCACTGAGATAATCCCCAGCCTATGACTTGTTTTTTTTAAAGTCGCAGCCACCCATATACTCACCCAAATGGCATAGCTGTTTGAGTATACTGATGAACAAGGGGAGTAAGGGACCAGTTTCTCCTTCGAAGGAAGGGTCTCTATGAGGCTACAGAGCCAGCCTTTAAGTACACTGATTCTAATTCCAAAACAACAGGAATCATTCTGTAGCCACTGACCATTTCATAATTTTTGTCAGTTATTGAAAAAAAATAAAGCTTATTTAATGATAGTTGTCAATTTAAGAAAATTTTTACAGTAAGATTTTAAGAAAACTGTCTTAAAAAACAAACTTTAAAAGGCTTTAAATTTCTAAGTATGTCCTTGGAATTTGAGTCCTATTTGAAAAACATCAAACTGAGATTTTTTAGTTTCATGATCACTAATAAAGTGTCCATCCCATTTTCCAATGTGATTACAAATTGTCCAAATCTGTTATTTACTTCCCATTTTCATATTTTTTTTCATCTAACACAAAAAGAGTCCTTTAAGTTTTTAAATTATGGACATAACACTAGAATTTGAAGGAATGTTTGAGGTTAATGTAAGTTCTTACTTCATAGATTATAAATTGACGCAAAGATTAACACAATGTCACTTAGTAAATGAGGTATTTTATCTCCTTATCTTGGCATGTGAAAACATGATTATATAAAAAATTAGTGATTTTGTGTGTAAAATAGGTTTCAGTTCATCATACATTCATTCATACATATTGTGTGCTGTGATTAACTATTGCTATAGAACAGAGATGGTGAATCTTGTAAAGCTTTCAATAATAACAAATAGCCCCCTGCAGCATGCCTACTATAGATTTCACCACCACTGCTATAGAGTCTAGACGCCAGTGAACTTGAAAATAACAGACCTAAGTCCCTGTCCTCTTGATTTTCCTTTAGCTGGAGAGAAATGCAATAAGCAAGAATATCAGGTGTTCGTAAACATTATAAAAATAATAAAAGGACAAGGGAAGGAAGAATTTTGTTTAAGACAGTATAGGGTGGCATTTTTAGATATTGTGATTAGGGAAAAGCATCTGTCTCCAAGGAAAACGAGAAGATAAGTCATGCAAAGATGAGATTAGCCTTCAAGGTAGGACTGCAAAGCAAAAGCCACAGTTAGAGCATTGCTTAGATTATATTAATACAGTTTTAAGAGAATTCGTATCAGAATGTATTTGAATTAATGAACTGGAATTTAAATTCATTAATTCCAGAAGTTTTTCTATGAATTTTTTTCTCAAGGCAAGAAAATAATTATATTTTCTTTATGTTATTTAGATGTTGTTAAATTTGCATAAGAAGAGTTGGATGGAAGGTTTGACACTTCAGGACTACAGTGAACATTGTAAACACAATGAATCAGTGGTAAAAGAGATGTTGGAATTAGCCAAGAATTATAATAAGGTGAAAGTTGCTTCTAACATTTTCTTTTTAATACTTTTTGGAATATGTATGGTTGCCAAGCAGTTATATAAATATAAATAATTAAAAATAGAAAGGCCTCTCTTCTATAAGACAGTAAATGTTTCTTGTGTATGGTATCTTTTATATGTCTGTAAAACAGTAAATATTTCTTTTGTTTGCTATCTTGTCTCATAAATACCACTGCTGTTGTGATAAAGCAGCCACAGACGATATATAAACAAATGAAGGTGGCTGTATTACATTAAAGTAGGCAGCTGGCCAGAATTAGCCTATGGGCTGCATTTTGCTATCCTCTTGTAGACCATGTAATATAGTTGCACATTTGAAATTTCTCCATTATTCAGAGAATTTTTCTTGAAAGAGAGAGAAAGGAGATATAGACAGCAACAACATTTAACCCTTGTTTCATATAGTTTATTTTATGAACTTTTCTATTTTCAGTTTAATTTTTAAAAGTCTGTTTAATAGGCTTTGAAAATCTGTTTTCAAAGATAAGGCATCAGAGATACGGTTTAAAAAATCAGACATACAAAGTCTCTTTTCCTTAAGGAATTTACATTCTGTAGGGGAAATATGGTTAATAAATAAATGTGACATAATATATTTTGATTAGTGCTATGAAAAAACAAGATGATATAAGGTAGAGAGACCACTTTTTGTAAGGATGTTTAAAAAGTTATATTTTGCAAAGTCTCCTGAAAATGTTTATGTGTGCTAAAATATATATGGCCAGGGTAATGTTTTTGTTCATAGATTTATGGTCTAATACTTGCGACATGACTAAAAAATATATTTCATGTTGTAGAGCTGCCACTTAATGTGTGCTGTTTTTTTATTTTCTTGACTATTCTGTCTCTATTATACACAAAAGCTAATCAAAAATACAGTGTGTTAAAATTTTTTAATTACAATAAAAACCACTTTGCCATTAATCCCCTCTAAGGGCCAGGGATTTGGCTCAGTGGTTCCGCATCCTGCCTTGCAAGCACAAGGGCCCAAGTTCAATCCCCAGTACCACAAAAACAAAAACATTAACTAAAAAAAAATTTTTTTTTCCCCAAACCAAAAACAAGGGCCAGGGATTTAGCTCAGCTGTTCTGCCACCTGACTTGCAAGTGCAAGGACCCAAGTGCAATCCCCGGTATCAAACAAAACAAAATATTCCCTCTTGCTTCAAACATACATACCCCATTGTTCTTGCCACTGTCTGAAGCAGTTCTGGAAATAAACTTTCATAAGTGTCTTTAAGAGTTGTGATTTTTTTTAAATATGGTGAATTTTCAGCTGGGGATTTAACTCAGTGGTGCCGCCACCTGCCTTGCAAGCTCAATGTCCTGAGCTCTATCCCTGGTACCCCTCCTCCAAATGGTGAATTTTGCTTTTGAGTGCCATCCAGTGGAAAGGCCAGTTCATAAAAGCATTACATTGTGTCCTCAATCCACCTTCATGAGATCTGGAGTCATATAACTTTTTGTTCTTCCCCAAGGTCAAAATGACTATGAAAGGTAAATGTGTTGAGTAGATTCAGGGCATCAAAGCCAGCACAGCAGACCAACTAAGGACATTCACAAACTAGGACTTTCTCCAGAACTGTTTCAGACAATAGCAAGAACAATGAGATAAGAATGTTTGAAGCAAGGAAGGATGTTTTGAGGAGGAGTAATAACATCATATCCTTTAACATATTGTTTTAATTTAAACATTCACTGTATTTTATGATCATACTCCATGTCTACCTGTTATATTCCATACATAACAAATTGTACTCCACTAATGGGTTGAAAGTTTACACTTAAAAAAAAATGCAAGTACTTTTTTTTTCTTGAAGGAAAACAATGAAAATAGAGCTTTTATAAATGGAGGGGGGGAAAAGGGTTGTAAGGAGGAAAGGCAAAAGGGACAAAACCAAGAAGAATTGATGTGTTGTATACATGTATAAATCGCCCATGGTGAATGTGATCATTATGCACTGCAGACATGTAAAACAATTAAAAATGCAGTTAAACATTATGCAGTGTTTCACTTACAAATATTTATTGAATATCTATATAAGTTGCAGTGGAAAACAAAGATTCTTGCTTCCTTTAAAGGAAACAAACAAGAACAGTAAAACATGTTCTTAAGTAACCAGAACACTGGGCAAAAATTGGTCTGTACTGTAACACCTTACATTTTTTGAGAAATACAGACTCTCAGATCTTTTGGCTTAAAACTTACATTTTAACAACAATATCCAAGAAATGTATATGCTCTTGAAGATAGCCATTACAGAAACACTGCCATAGAGAAAACCATTTAAAATCCTATAGGAGTTCAGAGGCTCTGACATGCAAACACAATTTACCGAGTTATGACTTTTAAGTTACTAAGAGAAGAACAGCATTTGAACTAGGCATTAAAGGATAAATAAGATTTAGACATATGAATATAGGTAAAATACATGTTACAGGCAAAGACTGGGAGAAAGCAAACAGGACATATTTTATAGTCCCATTATTCTAATAATAGATATCCAAGGAAAGTGAAATCAGCATATCAAAATTATGTCTATACTTCAGTGATCATTTGAGCAATATTCACAATAGCTAAGATAATGGAATCAACCTAATTGTCTAACATCAGGTAAATGCATAAATAAAATGTAAAAAAGGAAAGCTTGTTTGCATCATTGTGGATGAAACTGGAGGACATTCTAGTAAATGAAATAAAGCAGGCATAGGAAAACAACTGCTGTATGATCTCACTTTTATGAAGTCTAAATAGTTGAGGTCAGAAGTAGAGAGTACTTGTGGTTACTAAGGTCCTGAGGCTAATGATGGGAAGAATGGTGGGATGGTGGGGGAATAAAAACAAACACAGGAAATGTTTAGGAATAGTGTGCTTGACTAGAGTACATAGTACATGAAGGTGATTGTGAGGAATGTTTTTAAGTTTTTGAAACCAAGTTACTAGTAATTAGAATATCAGGAAAAGTGTTATTTTTATTCAGAAACATCATCTGAGTACATCCTGACTTTAGAAACATAGTTTTACAACAGTGTAGGAATCTTCTAAGAGGAAATTTGAACAGGAAATTTTGTCTAAGGAATTTGCTATTATCCAAATGAAGGGGGAGTGTCTGGGTTCCTGGAGTGGCAGTGAAGTATCGAGACATCAGTAAGAAAAGTATAGCACTGTTCTGACAGATGAAGTGAAAGAAGAAGAAATGAAAGATTAATTCAAGATTTCTTGTCTAGGGTACCATTCATATTTCCAATTTAGGTAGAAGTAGAAGAAGTGAAAGGAATAGAGGTAAAAATTTTTTTAATTTTATTTTTTGGTACCAGGGATTGAACTCTGGACCTTGTGCTTGTGAGGCAGGTGGCAGAACCACTCAGTTAAATCCCCAGCCCCAAATAGAGGTAATTTTTAGTCAGGACTAGAATTCAAGATTTCAGAGACATAGTTAAAAATTATTTGTTACACCAAAAGCTACATTACCTTTTTGAAATTAAGTATATTTTACCAAAAAAGCATCCAGGATACATTACATAAGCAAGTTTTGTGAGAGAATTGAATTTTGAAATAATGTTAGTGGGCTCGTATAAACTAAATTACACCAGAATTAGGTTTGGCTTTGAAGAACATGCCCTGATTAATGTGTAGTGCTTTAACTGGAATCCCTGCTGGTGCTAGATTATAGTCTTTTTAAAGTTTTTTAATTTTTTCCTAGATTGTAGTCTTAAAAAAAAAAAAAAAAGGACAGAATTATTTGTTTTAGTATTGTTTTCATGTCTGAAGAGTTTTTAAAAAGTAGTTTATCATTTAAAATAGTTAACTTTTTATAAACAAAAACATTATAGCTTAAGCTATTATTCAGCAGACTGTTGGAATGTTTTTTCATTTCTCTGTAACATACATTTAAATAAATTCATATTGGTACCACTGCCAGGAAATAACCTATTTATGGTTACCGCTGCCCATCCACAGAAGTTTTTCCTGTTTTACAGTTTTAAAAAATCTCTGTAGTACTCCAAAATTTGTAAGATTTGGTTAAAAAATGAAAACAGTGTGTAAGCTGTGATATGAAAGAGTCCAAATTTGGGAATGTAATTCCCTGAATGATTGAAAGAAATGCGGTGGACTTTTTTTAGTAACACTTAAAATATAAAATGAAAGACCCTTGCTACCAATTTTTTATAGTATTCTTTTTAATTGGCTGGCATTTTAAAGTAAGGCAATTGCTGTTAGATGCCAGTTAGGTCCTAAAGTGGAAGAAGGTTAGAAAATAATTAAATTCCTGTGTTCCAAGTTTTCAATTTCAAGTCTAAATTCCACACAAAAATTCTGCTTATTACTCACTTGATTTTTCTAATTATTGAACTATAACACCCACGGCTCTGTTATTCCAAACCTCCTAATTTATTCATGCCAAGATGCATCTGCTGTTTTTTTAAAATTTTGATAATATTTGATTACATATTTGTAAATGAATGTGCAGGTGAAAAAATGAGTTGCAAAAGTGCATTTTAAGAATAGCATAGAAACAAAAATATACCTTGTTTTCAAGCATGTAGTTTTGAAAATTCTGAGATGTGACAGTTTACTTTTCAGATGGATATATTAATTTTACTTAGTAACCTGGCAAAAAGTTTGAATATTTCTTTTATATGATTATAAATAAAGTATGTATATAGTTAATTTAATTTGATTTACTAGTAGCTATATTAAACAGGAAAGTCTCATTTTGTGCTGGTGTAGTGAGAAAAGAAAAGAAGCCAGATCATTATTTTTTGTTTGTTTGTTTATTTATTCTTATTTAGGATCAAACTCAGGACCTTTTGTTTGCGAGGCAGGCGGCAGAACCACTGAGCTAAATCCCCGGCCCCTAGATCATTATTATTTAAACGTGACAGGCTATTTTTGTAATCAAACAGAAATCAAAGAAAATAAACCTGAAAGCTTTTAGAACTATTAAAATTAAGAATTGTGTTTGTAGT